TAGAACGGCCGTCGATCGAGAGGTATGCCTTTTCAAATTACAGCCGGTCGTACCCTTCAGATGTTTATCCCTGATCTCTAGGTTTTGTTAGCGCACGTGACCAGTCGCAACCGTGTGCTTTTCACTGAATCCTGGCTGTACGACTACGGTACACATTATTATCCGTCACTGTTGTTTTTTACCGACGGACTGGGCGACAACTACAAGTTAATGCTGACCATGCGCAATCTGACCGACCGCAAAACCGGCAGATGGAATGGTAAGACAAATGACCATTCAGTCACCTGCCATTATATGCTTATTTATGCATGTCATGGAGTCTGTTTAGTGTATGCTGTCAGCAACGTTTTTGAGCGGTACGGTCGCTTCAGGCGCGGTGCCGTTTGGGCGAAGATCGTCGAACCGAACATCCCGGTTGAAAACGGCGTGGTTCACGTAATCGATACCGTCCTCGGCGTCGTGTCGACCACCATCCATCAGCTGTTGATGGAGAAGAACGAATGCACGTACTAAACATGTGCAATCCCTATTTGTTCGCTGGTCATTTTGTATTCTTTCAAGGAGTCTTATGATCTACTTAAATACCATAGGTCACATGGTGACCAGTCAGTTAGCGGCCACTGGCGGAATGGTGACATTTTTCGCACCGATTAACGAAGCCTTCGATCGCATTCCTGAAGACGTGGAACGGCGCCTTTTGCGAAATCGCATTTGGCTCGAGCAGGTATGGCTGACTGCAGTTGAAAACTGGCCAATATTCAGTTAAATCCATCATCACTTTCCTTTAGATCTTAAAACTTCATATCGTCCCTTCCAAAGAACTTACGTCAGATCAGATCCACAACGAAACCGTGGTCAATACTTTCGACAATCTGCGACAGCTGTATTTTAGGAAGGTCGATTGGCCAAAAAATAATATAAGTACGCCCGTAGTCGGCAAAACTAATAGCATAATCAGAAATTCACAGTTCCCACGCTTTTACTCATTTTAATACATTAAGTGCTTAGTAGCTGTGGCTTGCATACTATATTTGTGATAGTACCGTTAAAAGTGGCATCGCAATAAAAATCAAATAAATTGTTACTGTTCCATTCTTGCTAGGCAATGAGGGAGCGGCCATTTTGGTGCGCATCGACGGAACGCGCCGTCCTGGGCCGTCAATTTCAATTTATGTATTTGTTAAATATTTACCTATATTCCTGAGGACGGGTTGTTCACTTGATAACGTATTTGACTCAGGGCTGGAAAGTCTGGGGTTTTAGTCCACGTTAGGTCACTTTCCTTCATTTGGAGGTTGTTGAATTCTGAATAAATGAGTTCTGTTTAGTTGAAGGGAAGCAAGAGTACGCTATGCTTGCCACATCACCTTTGTCTGTTCTGCATTTAAAGTAAGGCACTTCTGGCTGATGAAATGGAAATGGCGATCAGGGCTTCACACTGAAGAGATAGGCGATATATAATTCTTTCGTGTTAGTGGGAAGACAATCGGTATGCTAACGTTTGCAGACGTTTTTCCTTCCTTCCTTCCTTCCTTCCTTCCTTCCTTCCTTCCTTAATTACGCTTAGTTAATTCCATAGTGATGAGTATGCCACACGATTGCGATGCTCAGGCTATGCGATATGCATACATAAATAATGGCACAAGACTTGCCCACGGTAGCCTTGTTTACATCGGGTATACTTTAGTGATGCTCTAGGCAAGTAACAGGAGTGGTTGCAGTTTCTGCAGATTATTACAATGAATAAACAGCTATCAGGTAGATCAAGGCGAATTGCAGCCTTTTTAAGCATCGAATCAAATTGCATTGCCTTCCATCTCGTCCAGTCTGGTAATACGAAACCAGAACACCATACTATCTCTGATGCTTGCAAGTCGACGAGTTTATACTCGTCTGGTTTGTATCCACGAGAAAGATGTGCTAATCAATATTTTGGCGACGAAAGTTATCACCAGCATCTGAGGTTAACAGTGTTTGAGCATCAGAGTAGCCGAGATTTTTGGTGTCTGACCTTCAGAGATCGCATTTCAAATCAGTAGTGGGCAACGGTCTCTACTGCAGTAATGGTTACCTTGCTCGTTGCAATCATTATCGGTGTCCAATCATTATCCCAAGATATAGTCATGTATGGTATTGTTATCCAACGGGTTGTATGCAGACGGTTTTTATACTACCACCATGGTCGGTATTAATTCTCGAAGAATGCGTACTGAAAATCTTTTGTGGAAAGATTGTCCGTCTTTCTATCAGAAAGACGACGAAATTCATTCGAATTAGACGAACAACGGGCAAACTTCTCACGAAGACTGCTATGTAGAAAGAAAGACAACTGTGCTTCTAACAGATATGAAATTTGTCACTGTTTGTTTTCTCTTGTACTGATGTTCAGACTAGTAGATTTTATTTGTACTGGTTATTGCACAGTAATAAATAATGGACATTTTCTTGATGATGAATCGTACATACTAGTCAAACTTTAGGCATTAAATATATAGTGGACTTCTCTGCTGCTTATGTTCAGAACCAGTTAGTGTTTAATGCAAACACAATTCGTTTAATTTTGAACTTAATCAGAATAAAATTAATTCAAATTTCACTGTTTTTAAAATTTGTTATTTTAATATTTCGCTATATTTTTGCATTCTTTAGCTTATTACGTCATCGGTGGTGGTGTGACAGCTTCAATTTGGCAGGAGGATGTAGCAGCGGTGAATGGCATAATCCATTACATAGATCGGGTGCTTGGCGTTCCTTATCAAAATATGTATGACATTATGCGGAATGAGACCGGATTAAAGTACTGTCATTTTTCTATTTGTATTTTCCTTTCGCTTATACTTATTCAATGTTATTTTCTTAAGAACCACCTTCTACGGCATTAGCCACATGAATTTACGGTATACATTGGCGCCTTGGGAGGTTCTGCAAGCAAATCAAAACTTTACGTTTTTTGCACCAAGCGATGAGGCTTGGACCAAGGTCCCGCTGGAGTTGCGTGCAAAGTTTTTCGACGGCAAACACTGGTCTGCCCTTCAATTCGTAAGCCTTCTTTCCCCTACCGCATGAGTGAACATTCATTTGTGATTTTTAGGTGATGAAGCGACATCTGATTCAGGGAGTGGCGTTGATGTACAGCGATCTGCGCGAAAGAGCTTATATAATGATGAATGACCAACGTGTGTTGGTACAACGACGCGGAAGATGTAAGCAATTCTTGAAAATAACCTTAGCCCAAATTGACGGCAATTCAGATTTATCTATGCAATGCAATAGCTCTCCTCATAATATTGATTCCATGTGGCATTTAACTAGTTTCATAACTGGCGACAAACATGCATAGATAAAGATTTTACACTGCCGTCCGTAGCTCCTTCACTATTGTCTTTTTGATCGGTACTTTCTAGCTGAATATTCAGTCGTCTAATTATCACCGCCTTGTCAGGAAATCTAAGATCCGGAAAATTATTGATCAGGCAACTTTAAGACCATGGTTGGGACGAAATCGGTAAAATTTTTATCCATTGAAATTTTCCTGTTAACTTCGAACTACGTTTCTGCCTTTCAAACATGGCAGAAGAGTTAGTACTTAGTAGATGAAGAAAGACATGGTTGAAAGCCTGGAAAAGATGTATTTAATAAGTGAAACTTTTGGAACCTACAGCGATGTACTTTCTTTAGCAGAAATTGCTAATGTGCAAGAAGGTATCTTTGCCTCTGACATGAGCAGGAATATGTTAATTACATTATAACGAAGAGAAAATACGTAAGGAAAAGAAAAACGTGAAAAAGCAGAGATTAACAAAAAGAAGAATTATAAGTAAAAGGAAATTAAATAGAGAATAAATTAAAGTTGAGCTTTCAGTTAGGCGAAAGATCTTTTCAGCTTTATCATCACTTGCACGGTCTGCACCAAATGCCTTAGTGACAGCGGATTCTCCTATCGTAAAACCAGCAGTTGTGCTGTGACGTCCTAAGATCGTCACGTCTTTGCCGTAACATGATGTGGTGTACTGGAAACAGCATTTAGCAATTTGGATACGGAAAGGAAAAGAAAGTAGCCAACTCTTGGCTTGTCAGTCTAAATTACATTTTCATGATTAAACACAATTATGAGCACCTTTGTTTCATAGAGCTTATGGTCAGGAGTGTCGTTTTGCCTGTTTTTCGTTATGGCAGTATCTGCAGCTAAGTACCCGTAGAATAGTACTCATCGTACTCATATATTTATGTTTGCTGAGATAATTGTTTGTATAAACAGAACATATCTGGCATGTTACGTTCACTGTAGATAACATATCAGCTTTTCAACATTTTTACTATAATACTGATTGCTACATCGCTGAAGAAAATATCCCTCCTCAAAAGCAGATCTGCCTTTAAGTTGTTCCTCTATGTTGCGTGCTATCTTTTTGGTCGGCGTGTGCCGTCTTTCGGTTTCAACACGCGAAGCTCACGGGCTGGAGAAAATAGTGAATTCTATGCAAGCATATCTAACTAGGCCTAACGTCTCATATTAATATCCACATCTAATAAAGTCATTTGTGCCATTAGCAGAAAAGAGTCACTCTTTATGTGACCCTGCCATTTAAATCTCTTAATACGTCTAAACCAACTCTGTTGCACGTAAGTAAACCGTTGTTTTTGTTTCGTTAGGGCAACTGTCTCTCTGCCGTACAACATTGCTGATCTGACAGAGGCGAGGTGCAGAAGGATTTTCATGGAAGGAGTAACTTATTTCTTAGCCAAATTATTGGACAAGTTTCCAAGAGCACTCTAGACGATCTTCGATCGATAGACGATCCTTCAAGTTAACTTTGGCTGGATGTGCCTCATTGGAGATGAAGCAGCCGAAATATTGAAATTGATCGACTTCATGAAGCACATCACCTCACTGTTATGCTTGTAGATCATTTGAGCTGGATAGGCTTCTCGTAACTATTGACTTCCGCGTATGAAAGAAAGAGGCCGACTTTCACAGCTGTGTGGCGTATGGAAGTCGTAAGGTGACAGAGCCCGCTTCCTGTACTACTCACAAGGACAATATCGTCTGTGTACTATAAAACCGCAAGACATCTAGCCAAATATCTTTATCTGCTCCTTTCATTTAGAGTGAGACCTTCCTCTTTGCCATAGTCAGCATTGTTTCAGAGAAGAAAGTCGAGAACAATTTTGAATGGAAAAGGCGAAAGTACATTTCTCTTATGAACTCCAAGGTTAATCCGGAACTACTTAGATAGTTCTCCTTCAATTATGACAGCTTACATCTCTTCCGCAATGAATATGATATGCTTAGCTATCCTACTATCCTACGGCATTTCAGGTTTTTCACATTGTCAGATGATGTAGTTGAATCAGATGCGATCTTTTAGCCGAGAAAACTGGAAAACCAAGGCAATTGAAATCGCCGGCATTACCCACTGATTCTGGGTAGAGTGAAAGTTTGGTGCGGGCGAGAGTATCCCATCCGAAAGCCTGGTTGATTTGGGCAAGTGTACCATCAACTCTATATCTCAGACTTTCCAGGATAATCCGAGTTGGCAGTAGTGTGATACCACGATGATTGAAACAATCATTCACCTGACCCCATTTAAATATATGGGCAACTACTCCACTTCTCCTTTCTCCTGGGAAACGTTTGTAGGTACACTTTTGACGAAACAGGGAATATAGCTTTTGTACCATTTCCGTTTCTCCATTCTTAATTAGCTCCAGAAGAATTCAACCAACCCCGCAGGCATTCTTCACCCTAAGATGTAGCAAGGCCTATTCGATTTCTAATTTTGTTCACGAATCTGGATTAAGTTCTGGTGTTGGCACAGAATTAATTGTCGGAAATTACGAATCTGGCGTTTAGCAGCTGCCGGAAATACTCAGCCCATCTTTTGAGACGTTTCCTTCTGACCTGCCAGTGGGGCACCTTTCGCGTCTCGGATTTTGCAAACCGAGTCCCCTGCTTACCGAACAACTGCTGTACCTCTTTGAACACTGTTCGCCACTCACCTTTGACCGCCTAGTTGATCTTCTTCATTTCTTCCCCCAGCCAAATGTTCCCTTACCTCCCTCTAATTTGCGAACGAGACGCGATAGGCTGCCTTCGAGGGTTGTTACATGAACTTCTTCTTAGGAAGCCTCTTTCGATCTAAGGGTTAGGATATTCTCCTTAACCTGAAACAGTTTGACTGTGCTCCTCCGGACCTGAACCACGTCTTTCACTGAAAAAATATCTTCCTTGAAGTCAGGAAATTTAATCGACTTTGCAAATTCTTGACTTGGCACTAATGGTAGCACTAAAATTGCTCTTCATTATCTTCTTTGACCGCTTCCCCTTTCGGATTGCGGAGCTATAATTGCTCTTTACCTCATTTTGGTATTGCGCTGCTTTCTCACATCCTAACTTGCCACTGTCGAGAAGTGGGTGTACTACAACCAAACGACGTCCATGTGACTCGGCCAATTTTAAACGAAATTCCGTTACGATTCTGTGGTTATCAGTCAGGCCCAACGCAGGTGTCAGCTGTAATATGAACTCAGGTTTCGAGCTGCACCACTTGCGTTTGATGAGGACGTAATCCATCTGGGTTTTTATGCTTCCATCAAGTGATGTCCAGGTGGTTTTGCAAATTTTCTTAAAAGGAAAAGGCTTAACAGACTGCTGCGGTAGTCCGTAGCGCTGCCAATTTCATGACCCCTGAGTACGCCTGGCCATAGCGTTGAGGTTACCTGTGACAGTTGTAACGTTGTAACGCTACCGAGTGCTAGCAGTCGATTGCCAGCAGTCATAAAAAGCATATTTGTTGGGGCACAGGCGACGATGACCCTCGCGTCGCCTCTTGATATTTACGCGATAGACATTCGCGATAGGCGATTCTCCTCTACACCCGTTACTCAGAAATGACTGCCCGGCTTATCTTGTGGGACAAGAGGATATCCACACTGGCATGCATTTATGTAATATTGTTCTGAGCAACTAAATGACCGCCTTTCCTACAAATCAGGCGTCCCTTTCCCCTGTAAGCGAACTTCTGTGACCGCAAATACATCGAGTTTGCACTGATGCACCGTAGGGCAGACGTATTGTAATTTGCCTTCGCCATACAACATGAAATTTATTGCTCATAGTGTTGATTGCTGAAATAGCGTATTTTTTTGGTTCTTGGATGTCTGGTAAGTTGCACAATTCATTTCCGCAAGAGCAACAAAAATTGCTTCCGCTGGCTAGGACATCTGCCTGATTTATTTGTTTACATCAGAGGTACCAGCAAGAGACTCGAACGAACGATATATCGAATGAATGCTACCCTCTGTAGAATCCTGACTGAAAACAGGACAGAAGATTGGTTGAAGTTTTGTCACTGAGGCGATGTTTTAAAGCACGTTGTATTGCATTTAAAAAGGCACTGATAGATTTTTTTCGCAGATTATAATGTTCATTGCTTTATTTTTTTTCAGACTTAGAGCTGTACTGGCCGTATGGCAACATAGTTGCACGAGTGCAAGAAGGTGGTCAAATAGCAGCTATTAATGGATTCATTCACGTCATAGACAACGTTCTTGTTTTGGAGGAAGACCTAAAAGCGGCTTCCACAAAGCTTGCAGCTGTCCCTTTTTACCTTATACTTGCCGCCTCGTTTTATTTTATCTTGGTAAGTTTTAACGATTTGTAAATTTATGATTACTTTTTGTCCTGTTTTCATGGTTTGCTGTTATGTTTTGGTGGTTCTTTTATAGCCGGGAATTTATTTGTATAGCAATCTCTGATGCCTTGTAATGTCAGTTTATTTTCTGTTTTACTCACTGCCTGTATGTGCACTCGTTTTCTGTGCTTGGTCTACTTATAGGCGAAATTTTAATATTTTGATGGACTATTTCTGTTATTTACTGTCGAATCGACAGATCTCGCCTTGTTTTATTAAGTGAAATTTTTATAAATTTAAATGAATGTCATCTGAAATCAATGCATGTTCACTCATGAGAGCATAAACCCACTGACAAAAGCTTATATTGCAAATGATGAACAAGGCAAACACTAAAATGGTCACTCATATACTGGTTGGTCTGAGTGCATACTACAGTGCCTGTGATTCCATTTGTGTTTTCTAAATGTGGGTTGCGCATTGCATTGCATTGGACAGTTAGCTATCACGTGGGTCAAAGCGAAGTACAATCACAAAGGGCTGTCACATTGGACAGCCTGGTCGTACATTTCGCCCATCCTGGCCTTGCAGTGCCAGAAACTATGCTGCCCTTATTTTTTGCAAATCATGGCCTGTTTTTCAGCTGGGGGCGCTGAAGGTACGTTGGGTTAATTTCTTGCTGAAGGGAATTTGCGGTAAAAACAGAGTGCCTCTTGATCAAGTCGAACGTGGCACACCCACAATTCAAAGCCGTCTTCTTAGACTACCACCATGCTATCATTACGAAGCTAGTTGTGGTTTTACTTAATTACTCAGAAAAAGAATGCCACATGGTGGAAAATGCGACGACCGTTGGACCTTTAGAAAGCCGTTGCCTATCATTCGTGGCAGCGTATGGTGCCAGAATTTTTTACCATACTTTTGGAACGGTGCCATGCCAGTACACCCGTATCGATTCTCTGTCTCCTCTCGATCAGCTGCTGAAGAAGTTTGGATGCTCTTCAAGCAGTTGCCTACAACCGGTAGACATTTTCTGGTTCTGGTTTCCTACTTCCGGGAGACATTTTCTGGTTTCTACGCACTGTTCGACTAAAGACGTAATTTCTTGATAATGTGAAGAGGCTGAAGTAGATTATGAGTTACAGTAAGCAAAAGACTTCAAGAAATAAAAGGAAACACGTGGCATTTATGGACTCGAGAAATGGACATCTTTAATGGTAGAAAATCTAAATGTTAGAAGATGAGGGACAGGTTGGGGAGATTGTAATAGCCTGCCGAATAGAGAAAGCAATCGAGGAAAAAGCAAGCACAGTTTCTTTTTGCTTCCACACTTATTTTCTTCATTTTATTTTCAATGGCTCTACACTGGCATGCTTGGGTTCCAAAAATGTTGACAGATTGCAAGGTAAACAGCTTACCTGGGCGACCGAAACTGATTTTTTGTATTGTCAGCGCTTTTGACTCGGTGTCACCGCCGAATGACAGCTGGTAACTGAAAAGTTTTTTATGGCAAGCGATTTTGTTGCTTGATAGCGCCATTGAACCGCCTTGCAAGCCACTCATAAAGTGTCATATGTGTATGCATATGCCTTGGCAAATCCAGCCCCGATGCTCATCTGATTGTTGAGAATCAGATTCATCATCTTCGCTGTTAATAATATTTCTGATACAGAGGACATGGAGACATAGAAACTGTAATGAACCTTGTATATATCAGTGTTTTGCATACTTATTCTCTCGGTCGATCGGATTCTCGTAACTGTTGTGATGTTTCTCTGGCTCCGGCCAGCATATACAAACCATCTTGGCTTTCAGAAGGCCTGTCGGATACAGGCGAAAAGTTAATCTGTTAGTCTGTCACCTGATTCCCATCATACCGTGCTGCACGTAAGAAAGTGTACTATTAAAGTGTCCAGCTGCATGAACTACATTCGCATAGGTCCCGTCAGAACCGGCGTTTACCGGAAACCAGTTGTCCTCAGAATACCTAACTATGTACCTGCATGAAATTTATTTACTGAAATTGATTGCAATCATAATTATCATATATTATGTCATAGCAATAGTTATCTTCATAATGATCTTGAACTTTATTATATCTAAGCTGAATGACTTAGGTACTTGCATACACATTGTTTATCTACCTGATTGCTATCGCAATTATCGTCTATTATGCCATAGGAATCGTTATTTTCATAATGACCTTGAACTTTATAATACCTCAGCTGAACAACAGGTACTTCCATGATAATAAGTTTTTTACTATGATCTTTGTATATATCGTCGTTTTTTGCTTTGTTTCTGTATGGCAAAACATAGAATTCTGCTTACCCATCCGACCGACCGAAGACCCTCTAAGGATGGGGTTAAAAATGATCTGAGGCAAACGTGCAGAAAAACTTTGCTCCAGAACTCAGGTAATTTTTTGTTGAAGCTCAAACGTGCGCGCAGGATCAGAAACGTTAGAAACATTTTCTGACGCGTCTTCCTCCGCCATCCAAAAGGATAGGCAGTCATCGAAACTGACCGACTTATCTGAACAACGCTAAGTGAATAAGACAACATAATGATGTGTACATTTGTGTTAATTGGCGTATGTTCGTATACTTGGCGACTCGCCCACTATTCGCATCGATTGATTCTATACTAAAAAATCAGAGCACATTAGTTTACCATTTCACATCTTTTTTCGAGATCACATTTGCAGCACAATATCACTTTCGAAAATCAAGAAAACGATGCAGAATACATGACGTATGGAATTGCGGTTAGCAGCACACCTATCGAAGAAAACGAAGACCTACCCGCACTGCATAAGTAGTTGAAGTTGATGTAGCCGCATGCACAACTTATTAGTGGTTATTATCACTATAGTGGTTAATCGATTTAGATAATGGCTAGACGACCAGAGACGATACGTCCACTGTTTTCGCTGTTATCCGGAAAGAACAATGACTGTCAAAGCTGATAGATAAGAAAGGTTGCTGTTGATACTAAGTGCTCAAGTGCCATGGAGCAGTAAGAGTGGTCCCCCTAGGTGTCTAAAAGCAAGGGACAGTACAACATTGCCATGCAGTCCTTCCATGACAAGTACCGTCATTCTCCACGGCAGTACTGCTGTGAACCGAAATGTAAAAGGCAGTATTGCTTAAAGAAATGGTTTCAGGTTGAATTGCATTATGACTGGTGACGCGAGCAACATTACGCTTGAACCTTCCAATTTTCGTGCGGATATGCCGTGTTCGTACCCTAGTCAGTAGTGCTATTCATTAATGTACTGTGCCACTCAAGTACCATGCAGTCGCGCTCAAATTGTCCCGCCTAAGCGTTTAGAAGCAAGGCGACGGTGCAGCGTCGCCGCATTACTCTGTGTAATGACATTTGCCGTCACTCACTGCGACAGTATGGATACAAATTAAAATTTTAAAGGTATGAATGTTAAAGAAGTAGCAAATTATAAAAACATAATCCTTATGTTTACGATTAGCTAAAACATCGTGGCCTTCCATATTATAGCATAGCATTTCTAGTAAACTCTGTGGTGTGACTAAGTGAATAACACTTGAAATATCTATCGAAATGCTCCACAGATAGGCTTCAAACCGTGTCTTATTTTAATCCATTAACCTAAGAGCTTGTATATATCATTTTGAACTATACTAAAATGCCTGAATTAATTTCCAGACTATAAAGGTGATCGATTTAGAGCTTCCCGTTTATTCTCTGGAATTATTTGACGTTGAACACGATAATACTAAATCACCGACGCTCAGAGTCAGAAACGCAGTTCGGCGGAAGAATCGAGCTACCGAAATGAGTCGAGGGCGACCGTTCCAAACGAACTTACACCAAACCGGCAACCTCGATGATTT